TGACAGTACTTTCCTTATACATAATTACTAATCTTCCTGTCATTAAATACTAAAAGACGTTGAGAAACTTCCTTAATTGAAGAAACTAACCACAAATTTATGACGCTATATGATCTATGCCGGTTATGTACTCCCGATCATGGAGAAAGGACGACGGTTTTGGCCGGGAATGGTGAGTAAATCCTGAGCACGTCGGTCTTTGTCGAAGTTCAAATAGGATAAATCCCAAATATACGAATTACTGAGCAAAATCTGTTTGAAAATATAAAATGTGAAATATCAGTGGGATTAAGAAGACAGATGATGCGACTGTTACTTACTTCCAAGGACTCGAATTTATTTGTGTCAAAATGAATAGCCCCAAACTCAATGAAGGGCCTCAATGAGGGACACTTGAAGGTTAAGACAGTCTACACACAATTTCCTGCAGAATAGTCTGTCAAAATGGAGAGTTACGCCCATTGTTAATTAGATGTGTAGTTCATTCATTACTTCTTATACGGACAATCAAAGCGTAAGAAATGTGCATAATTTGCCTACCTCTGCTGTTTGCTGCTTGGCAGTCGATCGATCGATCGATCACTCGTCTCTCGCGACACCACGCCGAGTGCAATTCTTATTGTCAGGGGTGACCGATTTTGAGGTCGTGCAGAGTAGTACAACCTCCACATCAAATTTCATCCAAATCCGTCTAGTGGTTCTCGAGTTGAATCGACTGGACAGACGGACTGACATGTCCAGCCCATTAATGTGTTCTCGCTGTGCACTTCGTGCAAAGAAAGCATAAAACGCGTCGAAGAAGTAGCAAGCCGGATGTAGGGGTAACAGACGGAGCTGTAGCTGGCGAATATCTGTTCAACACTTAATATATCCGTGCGTGCCGCCAAGCCGACTCGGCATTTATTACAGACTTGTCGAGAATTTCTTTTCTCTTCAAGGCCGGTCGCGCTGAGGAGCAGGCTAGGTTCTATTTTCATTCCGGTTAAATATTCCGCGGCACAGAAGCGAATTCCAGACATGTCATAGCAAAGGTATTTTCCCTTCCGTTTCTTTTGTCTACAAAACAAATAAAAAAGTCTGTTTCTTGCCCTAAAATACTTTCATAACAAGTGTGTTACAGAGCCCCGAAGCGCAGTTAAAGAAAACATGCAAGAACAACCACTGCTCCACGAAAATGAGAATAATTTACAAGGACACAGGACAGAATTACACCTAAAAAATGCATTAATACTAAAAAAAATACTAAATACTTTTTATTTCTCAGTATTAACAGATAAATGTGTAGACAATGTATACTGTTAATCGTAACGGGATCACGTGTTTTCTTTCTGTTGTTTAAAATATAGTCAAGGCTTCGTGCTTAGATATTAATTTCATAATTTAAGCCGAAATTAAAAAGAAAATTAAAGTTAATATGATTAAATATAAAATTATGGACTTTAGAAAATTCAGTAAATGATTTAAATGTCATGTCATGTCTAATGATAAAATGTAAAAATAAAAAGGCACATACAGAATATAGTTGAAGTAAAGGAGGTGAACTCATGAAATATATATCCTTGTCAAGATTTACAGGTCTAATGGTGAATTTACATGTTTAATGATGCAACGAAGAAACCTTCGAATTATCCCGCTACAAGATTAACATCAGCAACAGATTCACAAATATGAAACGCATCTGGACAATATGTGATCTCCGAATATACCTTTTGATCCTTCACTAGTGTTGACCCTCCTTCTTTCAAGAACACGTCCCAGAATAAGAGACTAAAATACTTTTTAAAAGGCAGATATGTAATTTATGTAAAGAGAGAAATTATCGGCTCGTTTACCAGTTATTCTATTTCACACTTTCAGTAGAACGCAGTTCATGGAACAGGCATGAAGCATGCATGCAGACTTGTTCTTCTGCATTCACGCTAACAAGCCTATGAAGACATTCTTAAATGATAGTAACTCATTCAAATAATCTTCTCATTAGAGCGGTTACTAAGGCTGTAGCAGCCTGTAAAATGCTACAAATAATAACTCTTTCTTCAAGACCCAGGTCACGAGGAAGAAGCCCGTTTCGTACGGTTCTCTGAAAGTCACTGGAATGCCCACAGCATGCAAGCCATCAACTTTATCTTCATCACGTTCATCTTATTATTTACCGCCACGTACTGCTTCTCCTTTGTCCTCTTTTCGCCAGTCTCTTTCTCCACCTCCTACATTTTCCTTAAATTCCTCTTTTCCTTCAATTTCTCCTCTGCATAATTTTTGTTAATCCCCTTCAACTTATTCTACTTTCCTCCTCCACCATATTTCTGCGTTTTCTTTTCTTCATCCTCCTGATTCTTCTTTTCCTGTTTTCTTCTTTAATCTTATCCTTTATTAAACATTCCTTATATTTCATTCCTTCCTCTTATATCTATTTCTGCCACTTCTCCATCTTCTTCCACAATTCCTTTGTCTTCTTCTCTTCCATCACATGCTCAGTCTCCATCATTTTCTATCCACTTCTCGTGTTTTACCTTTATCCTCTTCCTCATTATACTCCCACTTATCCTTACCTCTTCCTTATTACTCGCCCATCACACCTTCTGTCCAATGTCCTGATCGGCAGAACGATTCACAAGTGAATGGATGGCACTTTCAGGCCGAAGGCGAGGAGCGTGTCAACTCTTGCAGAAGCTGCCGACTTGTTGCAGATGGAGGTGCTGTGGGGGCAGGCGGCGCTGCTGGTGCAGGTAGCGTGGCTGCTGGCTGTCAGCGTGTGTTCGTCTCCTGCTCCTTGGGAGCGCGCCAACGCTTCAGGGGGACTCTTCGAAGGCCTCTCTCCTCAAGACTACGGGTTACGCCCAGGGAATCCTTTAGACGAACTTCCTCCACCTGATCTCATCGAGTCGCCCAACAAGATGCTGGACCCCAAGCCACACGACCTCAACGCAACTGCCCTGAGAGCCATGTTAGGCCGCAGCTTTGACAGTCTCTTCATGAGTATCACGCGACCAAGGTAAGAAGAACTATTTCATCACAAGTATTTCATTCTTACTCTCCTTCCCCCACCCCCGGCTGTTCTATTTCCCATGATGTACGCGTTGATTACAGATATTACATTTCCCTCTTAAGATGCCTTGTAGTCTGGCAGAAATTGACCGATATTTCAGGTCGCTTACGACACTCTTCTCTCCTCTTCGAAAGTAGTCACTTCAAAGACAGCGAAGAAGATTCAGAGTTAGCATTAACCTTGACATTAAACAAGTTTGAAGATGACCGTATTCTAAGACGTCGCACCGCGTAGTCTGGTGGATAATGACCGACGTTTCAGAGGCGTTTACTGCCTTCATTAGAACTATAACCACCTGGTGATGATCCTGATGGAGACAGTAAGCACTTCTGAAACGTCGGTCAGCACCTACCAGACAACCGGAAACACCACTCAGAAGACTCCCATTTTATACTCGTCACTATGAGGACAGGAAATCTCACATAATATTCCTACTTTACACACCAGTTTATTTTTTTCACATACGTGTGATCTGTCAGTATTTTTGTAACAACCTATTCATCACTGTCATTATGGCTTGTACTGTGTTAGAATTTTTTCTTCGTATTGAATATTTAACAATACAAAGAAAACTAATTTCTGAATCCGTGCTTTAATTTATGTGGTTTGATTAGCTTTTGATCTGTAATAAATTAACATTCAAGGCCAATGAGGTGTAACAAACAGAAAACAGGGTGTTTATAAAGTACGTATCCGCCATTGGAGTGCATTTTACCATTCTTATAAACACACAGGTTTATGCATAATTCTTTCTAGAGTTCATATGAAGTAGTGTATACAGTTTACACTCCTCTTATGTGCTGTTCAGACACTTTAAGGGTAGCTCGCCTGATCAGTTTGCAAGACTAAGAATTTCTGCACAGGAAGAGAGGTCGGCAAAATACTGAGTCCCTGTCCATGTAAACTGTCCAAACATTGGTTTCAAAGTAAAACAGATTATGGATTGAGGTTGAAACTTTTAAGGCTCCTAACGTCAAACAAGAATGGAAAGGACACTGTAGGGGCAATATTCACACCGTTCAGCACCCCTGATTCCACATCCAAACCGCACACCTCAAATCTTCAATTGTTTTGTGTGTTTGTCATCAGTCTTTCGACTGGTTTGATGCGGTCCTCCATTTTCGCCTATCTTGCGCCAATCTCTTCTTTCCACATATTTTTTGTAGCCCACATCCTCAAAAATCTACGTCACATATTCAAATCTTTGTTTCCCCCTACAATTCTTCCCTTCAACTGTTCCTTCCGTTACCAAATTAACCAATCCTGGGTGCCTCAGAATGTGTCCCACCATCCTATCTCATCTTCTAGTAAGATTTTTCCATAGACTCCTTTACGTTGTCAAAAGCCTTCTCCAAGTCTACAAATGCCATAATTGTATCTTTATTTTTCTTAATCCGTCCTTCTATTATTAAACGTTAGGTCAGAATTGCCTCTCGAGTACCCATACTTTTTCTAAATCCAAGCTGATCCTCATCTAGCGCCTCTTCAACTTTCCTTTCTATTCTTCTGTATATTATTCTAGTTAATAATTTTGATGCAGGAGATATCAAGCTAATTGCGCGGTAGTTCTCACATTTGTCTTGCTCTCACATTCTTGGGAAGTGCGAATCTTCAATTAATGGTGTTTTTAAACAGCACCAGTTGATTCACCACTGGCGTGTTACGAAATGAGAGTGTGTCGTAGTTACTTCATCGGCCTAAGCTGACAGGCATTTCAACTATTCTAGAGATAATCAAGCGAGATTCGATCATTACCCCGTCTAACACGCTTTTATTTTTCCCGAACAACTTCGGCCTTCGGGGATGAGACGCGTCAAATATTTAATTCATCCAACTTTTCGGCAAACACTGCAGTTGCCATCTTCAGAGTGAATGGTTGGAAATTTTTTGAAGCCCTGAATGGAGAATGCAGTGGGTGGCCACGTAATCTTCTCCGAAAGCCGAAGTTGTACATTGAACTGCATCCGCGAGAACCTTCGGACAAGGATGTCCTTTTCCCCGACGTTCTATCGAAAAACAGAAATTCAGGCCGCGTTTCCCGGACGTATTCATATTTTTTTTTTTCAAAACTCGAATTAATTTTGTTCCAGACACTCGAATCGTAATCAGTCGACTTCCAGCAGCAGTGATCTTGTCGAATTTCCATTCCGACGCAACAAACGAGGGCGCCTGGTACCAGTAGGAGAGATGCCACACTCTCTGCGTGAAATGAATTTCAGATACATCAGACTACCAGACGGCTCCCGTCTCCGTACGCGCATTTCGGCCAAACTCAAGAAGAAATTGCAACAGTTCCTGTGGGCCTTCACTGCCTGTCCCATCGTCTATCGCTGGAAGGACCTGGGGATTAGATTCTGGCCCAGATACCTCAAGGAAGGACACTGTCCGGCAGGAAAGACGTCGTGCTCTATTCCTCCAGGCATGAAGTGTCGTCCTGCAGCCAAAGCCCACAAGACACTCCTCCGCTGGCACTGTGCGCAGTACCCTCATCACCACCATCACAATTCTGGTAGCAACAGTGCAAACCATCATCGGAACCTTCTTTATTCTTCATCGTCAACGCTGAGTGCCACAGTAAACCCTACAGTTGCAGACAGTGGCATGCTAGGCCTTTCAAACAGTGGGTCAGCACATAAGCAACACTGTCACTGGATAAAAGTAGAGTATCCCATTGTGACGCAGTGTTCGTGTTCCTGTCCCACTAATGGCAGCAGTTACTCGTAGACTGACAGTTGCATTCATGCAATGCACTTCCGTTTTAAGAGTTCTTCTGCGAACGCATTCTCGATAAAACCCTCTTTAAGGCGACTTCCTTGACCGAAGAGGTTGTAGCTGATGGCTTGAGGTGGAGCCTCTTCTTAAACCACGGACTTCGCAGTTTTGACGAAGCCTCCGCCATATGTGCATTCCTCGAGCGAGAAATGTCTAACCAGGTTCAAGGACGACTATTTATTTATCAGCCAAATAATGTTCACCAACGATTCTTCAGATAAATAAAAATAATGTGTAGTTCTACAAAAAAAAAACATTATCACTTTGTACATAAAGGTGTATATAGCTTACATGCAGAATCTTTTTAAACCAAGAACTAAATTAAATGTAGAATAACTGTAATGATACTCTACTGGGGCAGCTACCTTCGGATGTATACCTCAGGAGTTATTAATGTCTCAAGAAGAAAGCCGATATCCATGACTCTAAAAGATGACAAATTTGTACTACACTTACGTATAGAAACGTATAGGAAATACGAATTAGCAATATATTTCAATGTGATCAGCTAGAACTTCCGAAGGAGGAGTACTTACAGGTTTGGAAGTCGCGCAGGAAGAACTGGATTAAATGCGGTTTACGAGTACTATGTTTTAACTGACAATTTATCTGAGACAACCTGAAACAAGTATTTTGGCCACGATATCACGTGAACAGCAAGATGACGCAGATAATGAAGCTGATCAGAAAAAAGTTTCGATCACTTTGATTCTTTGCGCTTCTCGGTGGATTCTGAAACTCCTAGTCTTCTGTCTATTAAGTGCCGCATCTAATGTTGAGTGCCAACCTTGCACTGGATGTGAGAAGATAAATGCCTCCTATCATAAGGATACTAACACGGAAACAATAAGTACAAGACAGTAACTAGATACAACAGTTCGTATTAGCCGTAAATACTATTGTAGTCGCAAAGTAAATTATTAACACCATTTTAACTTTACAGTCTGTAGTTTCATTGTGTTCTTTTCAAAAACTTGCTAAGAGGTAAGTTCTGTTCGTGTCCCTGAATAAAGTGGAAGCCAGGACGCCAAGGTGGACAAGACTGTTCGCAGTAGGATTTCAGGTTCTCAAGGTGGTGAGTACGAAGACGTCTTTCTTCTGGTTTGTAGCAATAGCTCTTATAATGGAGGCAGTAAGGACCTCTGAAACGTTGGTAAACGTCTACCAGAATACAGGCATCTAAGAAGACTATTCCCTTTGAAGCGTGCAGGCCATCTAAATAACATTCACATTTTCAGTTACCACCTCAAAGAAAGCACAACGTTTCTGCATTACAAAAGTCAGTTGGTTTATGATGTTTAGGGAAATATCGCTGTCTATACTGATAATCATACGAAATTCATAAAACAACTAGCCAATTCTCACAAAAAACTGCACCGGAACTTATTCTCCGAATACAAGTGTTCGGTACAACGCGGGAGACTTGACATGTTAAGAAGTGTATTCTTTGCGTACTGAAGTTTAATATTTTAATTGTATAATTTATGGCACGCTGTAATTTGTATAAAGGGGCAACACAAAAATACTTTCAAACTCAGACGAATGGATTTGTCAAACTACACATTTGAAATGCATGCAAACTAACCTTAGGCAATGTGAAATTAGATGTTCGCACGTTCCCCGTCTGCTTGCGCAGGCGCAATTAGCAGGGACACGAAAAAGTGTGGAATTGAAGGGAGGACGGACTGCATAACCTTTGAAGCTGAGTTGTTAGTCAAGTCTCTACCACTAACATGCTACTTGTTTACGTGTTTGCCTTCGGCGCAGAGCGCTGTATCACATTCCTCGCGACTTTAATTGCTTAACCTTTGCTCTCCGCGTCTTGTGATTGTGTATAATGTATGATGAAGAACGATACGGAATTGCCATCTGAGATTTAGCTAACACTTGAAAAAAAACACGCACCGCCACTGACTGAATTCGATCTTAAAAAAATAGCGGTCGTGACATACATCTCTCCGCACCTTGAACGGAATTAGTCCACAGAAACAGCACATAACAGCTTCTGGCGTACCTCAAGGAGCTGTCTGCAGGTTTCACGCTGCAAGCCCACCACCTTGTTCTGATATCATGAGTTAATTATAAAACAACGGAAGTAATACAAAGTATTAAATTATGCATGAGGCATAAATGTAGGGATCGCAAATCAACGCTTCTGTCCCACATCAGGCTTAAAAAGACAGTCTTCAGGTTTTACTAACAGTATATTCGTCAATTTATCTCCAATGGGAATGATAATATACAGCTTCCTAGGGCGCATCTTCTGTAAATGACTTCGGCTTCCAAGGGTCCAAGGAGGTACGCCTCCGCCATGGCCGACTGCAAGAGGCCAAGGTGCACATTCAATATTTTTCAACGTAAAAACACAGTTCCCTACATATTTTGGTTCCTTGTGTTACTACGAACACAGCGACATCAATTTAATGTTTAATGTTACCTGCGTATCGTAAAGATTTTTAGAGTAATTAGAGTAAAGTATGTCATTATCATCACTGAAAAAATAAACTTATAATTAACGAGAACGAATTTCTGAACCAAACATATATTTTTATGAATTTATTCAAATTTTATATTTCTTAATAAAGACCTTATTTGTCTCGAATTAACGGCGAGGCATACAAGGTTGCAGCGGCGGATCAATTGTCTAGATACTTTGAAGCAGCTAAGATGATATTGAAAACAGACAAAACAAGTTTTTTATATGGTTCAGTGTTGTTTTATTAGTTTATATTAATGTTCGTATTGTTAAACTGTGGTACACAGTATTACCGCAGTATGCAATACTGAAGCAAAGAAGTTATAAGCTTCATGAATCCTAATCATTATCATTAAATTTAAAAGCCCTTCTTTCGCAAATTAAGCAGAAAATTTAATCCTATTCCCATCTTGTTTTAGAAATTTGACAAGAGGCCAATGGAAACACATACTAAAAGTCGTAACGTGTGTGTTCCTTGAGGCTTATAATCGCATAGGAACGTGTAACGAAGTTTTAATAAAAATAAACAAAATGACTATTCAATTACTAGACCACTGGCGTCCAGCATTTAACTGGCGACGGACTTTTACCAGTTATATTAGGAATACTGAAATAACAAAGAGTAAATGTCAAAAACAAAATAAAAAATTGCATCGTAATTGGACTGTATATTTTACCATCAGCTTCGTAATGACGCCAGGCTCCAGACATCTGAATGTAATTACTTCTTGGTTGAATTGGCCACAGTCATGAAATCGAGAGTTCTACAGAGCGTTACAAAAATCGAACACCTCAGACTTTTAACAACTTCCTATTCAAATTCACGCGGTTATAGCTATATGGAGAATTAACCTTGCGTAATAATACTGTACTAAGCACACAGAAGAAGGCAATGGCAAACCACTTCTGGATCATTTGCCTAGGAAACATATGAACACGTCCCTATCAGAGGGATCTTGTTCATAATGTCACCAGGGGTCGGCTCCGACCCGATGGTACTAAAAAAATGAAATAAAATAATATACAAAATATGCAAAATACATTTTATGAGCGATTATGTAACGGGGTTTCGGGTTAATGCAATCGAAAAGTGAACCGTATACGTAATGAATGTTAGCTTAAAGATACGTACTTGTCTTGATGACATATTTTAGGTCCCCCATATTTTAACTTTAAGATCACATCTAAAGTCAGGCGTATTATTTTCCTTCACCTGCTTAATAAACCGTAGGGCCGAGTGTTTCCTCCCTACGTTTGTGTGTTTGCCTATTTATTCCAGCTAATTATTATTATCTAGCTCTAGTCCTTGACAGACCTTGACCTACTCACACATGGGAGAAGTTACTTGATCCATTTAGGCATTTGGTAGGACTCCCTGGACGAGAGATCATCCCGCCGCAAACTTACGGTAATACTTCTACCAGTATTCCACAGAAAAGAGTCTTTCATTTCAATAACAATGAATAAAGATCCTAAATAAACATAAAGTACCCATTAAGGACACTCTGTATAAGGTTGGCAGGTATTTTTGCCTGTGTGTTGTGTTCACGTTTCAAAACGCAGAATGGAATGGCACGTGCAAAACATTTTTCTATCAACTCTGGTCTTAGGAAGGAGGGGTGAAGGCATGTGTTTTCGTCATGAAATGAAGCTGTAAAACATTTATCCCACATTCTACACACATACATTTCTCTGCGTTTCACATGCAAATACATGACAAAAAAACAACTGTTTTTTTAGAGAAATGTCATAGCAAATAAAACATTTAAACAGCTGAAAAATTGCGGACGCGTCAGAGTTTCAGAAGAAGATGCTGTTTCCCTTTGTCGTGGCCAGTGCTTCGATGTGTGACCGTCTGAAGACACCACATGCCAACATCTACAATATTAGAAGTGGTTCTGTTTGAAAGGGTGACCATTCGAGTCTACTGCTGCCTACAATAATACATATTCACATCGTTACATCACAATACCTGACACTTTTGTTATATTAATACATAACCATTCCTCATACGTGAATTGTGCTATTTTGGGTTGTCACGCCATGTACTCTTATAGGTGGTTACCAACGGCACTTGTCACTTCTACAATGAAGATGGAAGTTGCACATACCTCCAAAACGTTGATAACCACTTACATGACTACACTGTGTCACCAACCAAAAGAGCACAGTCAACATTTGCATCGTTCTGAATATCTCAAATCACTCCTACATTTCTTCTGTCATATATTCTACAAGAGGAAGCAAATTCCCTCCAAACGCCAGTAACGTCCGCTACTTCAGAAAGGTATGAATGGGACTTTTTAAATCATCCTGTGTAGCTGTAAGCCTTGGACGAGCTGGTGTTTAGTCTCAGGATTCCTACGAAGCACCAGAAAGGATTAAAACATTATAGAAATTAATTCTTAATTTTAACAACGCAGATGATGACCTTGTTCACAATAGAGCGACCCTGGCGATGGGGGCAGTAAGCTCCTCTGAAACGTTAGTAAATTATCTACCAGACAACAGGGTGCAGAAGACAACCATTCTTATTGTCGTTGGATTTGAGGTTTTAAATGCGGTGAGTCTGAAGATTGTTGTCTTCAGGGTTGTTGCGCCGTGTAGTCTGGTAGAAGTTTACCGACGTTTCAGAGATCCTTGCTGCCTACACGGCGCAACAACCCAGAAGACAGCTATCTTAATCCTTATTGTTATTGAGGTTCGTGTTTTAACAATTTGTTTTAACTTTAACCCAACAGCAAACTGCTTCGTTAACGTCTATTCTGTTAACATTTTTCATATTCAGAAGCCTTTTCAACAGCAAAACAAACAAAATATTGAATCAAATATGAACCAGTTTACATTGAAATTAGAACATAGAACCGAACCAATATGATAACCCTGTATAACCACTCAAGCGCGTGCTCTCTCAAAACTACGACGTGAACTAAGAATAACGTCGGAATGGACGCCGAACAGACGTGGCGCCATCGTATCGATGACGGACCAACCATAAAAAACAAATGGATCTCGAAATGACGATAGTTGCCAGAGAGTAGACGATAACCGAAGGCACCACTTTAAGGCGCCAAGGTGCCCCCAGGAGTGAGATCTAATGAAGGACATGTTATCACTTGCAGTGGCGTCTAGCTGTTGTCTGTCTGGAAACGAGACGTCGGTGGAGCTCTGTAGCAAGTGAAGTCAGTTTGTTCGGACACCCGAGGAATGAAACAATAACCCTTATCCAAAGTTTAAAATGTAAGACTGGTGTTTTATTCTTCAGATAAATTTAAGTTTGAATTCTATAACCACTGCCAGTTTCAGAGCCATCTTACACAAAGCAGTGCGAGTTGCCAGTTATCTGAAACCACTTTCCCCACCTATTCTCAAAATAAATATAATTTCAGAGTCCCTTTTAATATTGTTCTCCCATCTACGGCCAGGTCTTCGGATTGTTATTTTTTTATGATTTAGGCTAATTAAC